ATTACCATGTGGCAGGAATAGTACTGCCACTTGGGGAAAATATACATACATACACACATATTCAAGAATTATAAAGTTAACTTCACGAAACAAGGGGGAACTACTAATATATAGCTATGCCATCACATCCACATAGACTACCACCAATGCCCAGCTTCTAAAGGGATTTCTGGGTCTGCCTGGTTGCCTCCAGGACTGGTTGGTTGGTTTTCAGTCTGTTTGGTTTTTTTTAATCAAGCTTTAAAACTGAGTTGTATAATTACAAGAAGCCAGGAATGACTAGATTTATTGCCTTAGAAGACCTGATGATATTGGTAGAAAAATACAGTATCTTCCAAAATGGGAAAAGAGGATGAGGAGGAAAGAGGAGAGAAAACAATCAACATTAATGAGAATATAGAAGAGAAAGACTTGAAGTGAGCAACTGCTGTGAACGATGAGACTTTGGGCAAAGGCGGGTACAGGGGTTCCCTATCTTACATAGGGATACTGCTATGTTGCCACTTGTGATTGTCAATACACTTGGGTAAAGATGAGTCTCTTAAAACTGGCCCAAAAGTGGTCCCATTACATCAGTTACATTCACAATGTCTCATTGTGTTACTACATATTTGAAACCCTCAGTGAGAAAACTTTCCAATCCCACATGGTACACTTTAACCATCTATACCAACCAAATCCTGCCCCACTAATAGTCACTAATATTAAAGATTCTTCCAAAGAACTCTATGAGGTACCAGAATTTCCTGAACTCAGTTCTTGCAGGATCCTAACCTCTTCACCAGCTACCAGCAATGCTTTCCTAAATAAAAGTAAATCTCTAACACTGTCAGCTTGTTATTTAAATCTCAAGATCAAAAAAGTCAAGTTTTCAATAACATAAACCAGCAAGCGGACTTTTTCAAAGAACTTCTTATTAAATAACTTTGTTAACATTAGCAAATGTATATTAGTTTAAGTCTAATCAAAGACATAAAAATTCATATTAACATAATTCTTCTGTTATATGTGAATGAGGGAGAGTCATACCAATTATTGCCTCTATAGGGTCTGAAAGGGGAAATGATCATTTTCCATAATTCTGTAATATATGAGTGAGGCAGAGTCACACCATTTACCACCTAGATAGGTAAATGGTCTGACTTTCATACCACCTGAAAGGAGGAATGCTGAACTAGCTGCAGATCAATGGCTGCAGATCACTTGTAAATTAGGAAAAATGTTAAATTCTCTCTTTGATGACTTCACATTTCTACAATTTAAAACCATTACAAACTATTTCTATAGTTTCTTCCTTAGGTGGTAAGAAATAAGGGACACAGGGCATCAATTACCCAAACTAAACAGAAAGAAATAACCCTTCCAACATTTAGTAAGAGAGGCTTAACTAATAAGTAAACTAGTGAACTTTCCGCTTTGAAAACCAAACTCAGCTCAAATCGGATGGATTTTTGAATACCACCCAAGAACTGACAACCTCTCTGAAACCAGTTGCTCACAAAGTATCATCAAGAGAGGATTTCAGCTTCTCCAGGTGCTCTGGGGGCTGTTCTCAAAATGCAAAGGTGAGATCTATTTGTTAAAGTTAGTCTTCATCAAAGAAGGAGAAAGTTGACTGTGTTCACTTGAAGTGCCGAGACTACTAGAAATGCAGCTATGCCACCTCAAATTGCCTACAATATTTAAGGGTTAAGAGAGTATGAGTAAATGGCTTTCGTTAGTGTAGATAACAATAGACTTAGAATCTCTACTGGACATGAACTCCTTACAGATATGAGACTTTTAGTGGAGAAAGTTCCCCAGCCTTCTCCCAACCCAGCAAGTACTGCCAGTCCTTTAATTTGTATTATTCACTGCATCTAAAGAACTTTGTGCACCAGGACATCACCTTTTTTGACACTAAATCACATGGCTTAAGTATGAAGACTTAAATGAGAATTTTCATTATAAATGTTTCCACCATCAAAGTGTGAAAACACATTTGAAAACGTGTCACATACTGTTACTGGGGGGGAGAGACAAAACAAGCACCTTTACCCATTGCATCACTGCCCGGGTCTGACAACAGTTCTAAGCATAACATTTCAAAAGTGCTTGGTGATTTCATATTTAAATTGCTTCCTGCATAGTCCATGTTCAATATACAGTAAGATAACTTCTCCAAAATTTTCACCCAGTAGCTGTCACCTTTCATGTGGGTCGAACTACAGATTTTAACTGAAAAGTGAATCATTCAAAAACAGTTACGTAATTAAATTTAGAGTTGAGACTTTGAAATTTACAATAAATTTTTAATAGTGCTAACATTTAAAAGGCTCATGACTTGTTTCATTTTCATTTCATTTTATGTAACTCTTCTTTTTTTGTGGTTGTTTTTATAAATCATCTCAAACTCCAGAAAGTTATCTGCTATTTCAAGGAGTTACAAACACAAGAAACACTTTAGAGACAGCTAACCCAGTGGTGGAATGACACAGACATCAACTTTTCAATTCTAATTTCCTTTGAAGTGACTCCACAGAGTTTTAATAAAAATAAAAAGCCAATCGTTTGGCATTCACTTTTTTTATTTAAAAGACACTCTATGTTTCCCTCTGGTACATAAGTTCACTGTAGTGCCAATGCTGTTGGTTATTTATCTAGCATCCATGTCCCTTCCCCTCTTTGGAATGAACCAACTTTGACAAGGTACCTACCTGTCCTGTTCATTCCACATTGGAAATTTAGGGATGGACCACGATTTGTTCAAACCAGCTCTGCCACTGACTGACTCAAGGACAATTCAGTCAGGATGTGGTAATCTAGAGACTGGTACACTGGCACCAATTGGCGCGCTACCGGTTCATACTCATTCGCTCTTTGTGCTAAGGAAACTGAACAACCCTGTCTTCTTCCATGGCTAACTGAATATTAGCCCAAGTCGGCATGCAATGCTGTCTACTATCTTGCCCTCAACTACCTTCTTAGCCCTTTCTCCTTTGTACATCTTTTGCTTTAGCAACTAGAAACTTGACCTTCCTAAAACACACCTCTTCACTTTCCACTTCATATTCTTTATTCAGGTTGTTCTTTAGCGAAGAAAGCCCAACCGCTCCCATTTGAGCCATTTTGAAACATACTCAAAGTCCAGATCAAAAGTAAACTTTTCTATGAAGTCTTCCATGATCTCAGCATTAATAAATGGAACCCATACAAGAGTATATTCCTTGTATTATAAATTATCAGCACGTACTTGTAGCCTATTTTAAAACTGCAAACTCCTTCAGGGTTGCAGACAGGCTTTTTCGCATCTTTGTTATTCTACCACCATCTTTCCCCACCAGATACTCCAATGCACAGATTAGTTGTTCTGTAAATATTCGCTGAAAAACAACGAACACATTTTTTCAAGGGTGAAAAGTATCTCTACAAAATAGAGTATCACAAAGACTGAAATGTCCTTGGAAATCTTTTAAAATATCCTCATATGACTTAGGAGTCGTTCTGCTCAAGGGAAAGGAACGAATCAGATGACCTTGCAAGACTGATCCTGTGAATTACATCAATTCTTTAGAAGTATTTCCTAATAATTCAAAAACAATCATACGCAAATACCATTTACCAAAAAAGTAGGCTCTTATTAATGTATCCAAAGCCTAATAATTGATTTTTTTCTATCAAGAATTTGAGCTGTTCTAATAGTAATATTAGTAATATTTTATAATATTTTCAGTTCTGTCCAAGGACTGTATAAAATGCCCATTTACTCTTTTAGTTCACACTTGAAAGAAGCAGGACAAAGAGAAACACCGGCACTCCCACATTGCTCCCAGGACAAAATTAATTTGGAGCCACAAATTCATGAAATATACATATTTTGATGTTATTCATTATCTGCACATCGTCACTAAAAATGTACCTAATGAAGTCCAGAAAAGTTATCTGCCCTCTTGATCATACCTTCACTAGTTTCTTTGGAAAGAGTATACCAGAAGTTTCTGTAGTCTCTTTTTCCCTACTAAATATGTCTGTACAGTTTAAGTCAGCTACTGTAAACTTGTGCTCCTTCAAGATCTGCAGGTACATTATCAGTTCGAAAGAGGCTATAAAGCAACTGGAAACAGGCCAGTGTCTCCGGAAAGAAAAAAAGTTAACCACGATATTTTATAAATCATTAAATCTGCTTTTTAAATAAAACTCTTCTGAATAAATTTCATTAAATTTCAGCAATCAATTATATGGGACAGAAAACATGATTCCACGAGACAGTGCACACATTGTATCAAATGAAAATCAGAGCCTAACATACAATAGCTATTCACACAAATTAAAATGTAAGATTAGAGAGAACATTAAACTTAAACAGATGTTTAAAAATCGTTGACAAGAAAAAGGCATTTATTTCTTTTGTTCTGATGTATTTTCGTGAGCCAACTTAAATTCTTTGCAGCCAAAACTAGAATGTCAATAGATTCTCATTTTCAAATATACAGTATAGGGCACTATGCAGTTATTTTCAGAAAAGGGTCATTTTCTGTTTAAACGTGCGTACGCTTCTTAAAGGTAATGTTAAAGCTACAGGTTCCTGTTTTCCAGATCACTTCATTGATTTAATCGTTTTGAAATACAACTTCGTCCAAGGTCACGGTAAAGCTACAATTTAAAGTTTTCCTGCAGCTTCCGAATACGGAAACTGATTCTAAACACTGTTACGTACTGGACCAGTAAGTAAGGGAGCTCGTTATATATTATTAAGATCCCACAGTCGCCAGGAGCATCGCAGGGTGAGAGGCGGAGGCGGGTGCAGGACCCGCCAAGACCCAACAGCA